TGCACATCTGGAAACACAATACTAGTGAGTACAAAGTCCTTCTGCCCAGAGTCCTGTCTCCTGAGCCCCCAGTCCCTGCCTCCACCTACTTCACCCTCTTCTCCTCGAGCCCAGAGGAGTAGGAGGGGAGAGAAGGATACAACATGGACAAATTGGTATACATTTGGACCACAATTGAGTTTACTTAGATATGCAACCAAAATCGATGAGTAAAGTGGACTCTTAAAAATGTAACTGGGATAAATGTAGAATAAATTACTTAAACAAATGGTAAAAATACAACATGCAAAAAGAAAGTTTATAATAACCACAAATTTTCTTAACTGTATTTTGGGCTAAAGATGTGTACTTATCCCACATCTTCCTTAGGGCAGAAAGTGATCAAGAGTCTTGGTGGGAAGGAGATGGTATTAATAGAAGAGCTTATGACCCAATGTGAAGAGGACCCGTTTCCTGGTATGAATAGGTAGCTGTAGCCTCTACATGATCAAGGTCCTTAGTCTAACACCAAAATCACAGAATAGAGCCTGCCAATCATTTATTTGGCTGCTTGGATGAAGGAGTTTGATGGAGGCAACAGTCTACAGACTAAACAAGACACCTGCAAAATTTGGGATCTCTTGTGTCTTGATGGCACTTCCCAGAGTGGGTCTGAGAGCTGAACCAGGGGCAGCTTTTCCCTCAGGGCCTGTGGGTCGATTAATTCAGACACTGGTGTCCTTTGGAGAATCATCACCATCCTTTCCCTTTGTGTGGCAGTTGAGGGATGAAACTCTGCTCTGAGGCTGTCAGTGTCCTGAGGTTCATGCCAAGAGTTTCATTGTGTTTTTGCTCCTATACTGTTGTCAGCAGTTGGGGTCCATGAGGAAGCTCCCTGTGAGTAGGACTCCTCCTGTCTTTCCTGGCTCTGAAGAAGTTAGGGACTAAAGAGTAAGAATGTGTTTTAACTATTGGGTTGCCCCCAAAATTTGTTATTTTCCATCAGGTGGCTCTAGTAGTGCTTCGTTGTCTTGAACTTCATTTGAAACAATTTTGTTAAATTGTATTGTGATAGCTGTCATATCAGCATGCATTTTAAAAAATAAAATTGGTGAATTTTTGTGTAGCCATTTTAATATTGAACATGAAAGGAAAATAAACAATTTTTGGCATATTGCACTTTATTATTTTAAGAAAGGTAAAAATGCAACTGAAATGCAAAAAAAAAAAAGATTTGTGCAGTGTGTGGAGAAGCTGTGACTGATCGAATATGTCAAAAGTGGTTTATGAAGTTTCGTGCTGGATGATGCGCCACAGTTGGGTAGACCAGTTGAAGCTGATAGCAATCAGATCAACACATTAATTGAGAACAATCAACATTATGCCACATGGGAGATAGCTGACATACTCAAAATGTCTAAGTCAATAAAGTTATTGGTGAAAATGAAAAAATGTGTCTTTTAAAAACTAAACAGACTTTTTGGCCAACTCAATCCATCACTGATAACTGCTAGGTTGTGTGTAGTTCTGTGAGCCCAGTGGGCTTTAATTCCAAGCCCCAGAATCAGGCAGGCTCATCCACCAATTCAGGCAGAACTGAACAGGACAGGGTTTTTCACAGCAAGAGGGCTGCCTGGGCAAGAGTTTTGGGAGAACTCCTGCTCTTCATGGACTGGCTGGTTCCCAAAGATAATAAAGTTAGAGTTCAGGTGAGCATCCTTAGTTATTTTTTTCAAATTCACCAGTGAAATGAGTAACGTGTGGAGAGATGAGGAGCTAGCAAAGTTTGTTAATAATAAGGTTCCCTTCACTTTGGAAAAAACTTCAGGGTTGAAGAAAAGCTTCCCCTGCTTTTGAAAGAAGGCTGCCCTTCCTGGCTGGCCAAGTTCTCAGCCATGTCTGCTCAAGTGTACTCCATCCTCTATTCTGCAGTCTTCCCAGTTCTTAATGCAGACACGTGTGTTCCAACTTCAACCTACTGTGTCAAAGATTAGTGCCACCCCCTATGCACCAAACACAAATAGAAGGATACGGAACAGTAAGGTGGCTCTTAGATCCACTCTCTGCTGTGTTCCCCAAGGCTTCTGCCATGCCGTGGACTGATATTACCTCCCATTTATGGGAAGGCATCAGTCTTGCTAGGGACCTCCTGGAACTCTCTTTCCCACACTGTAATTCACACTGCATGCTATCGCCAGACTACATTTCTGCAAACACTACTCTTACCGAGTCACTCAAACTCTCAGAGTCTACTTTTCCTCATTGTTAAAGTGGATATGTTTATATTTTTCCCTCCTTGCCTACCTCATGGTGTCGTTGAAAAGCTCAGATAAGACCATTGATGGAAAAAAGTCTTGTAAATTGAAAAGTGTTGTGCATGCGAGGGTGTACCAGCCTGCCTTAGGAACCTCATTTCCTCTTATTGTCTTTCTGATCAAGTTTACACCGCTAGCCTTGGCATTCGGGGTCTTCCCAATCAGTCATGTTCCAGACCGCCCCATCCCTTATCAACCTACAATTCTGGTTCTTCCTTTCGTTTCTACTTATTCTGTTTTGAGAAGCCTTTCTGATTACTCCTACCCTTAGGAAGCTTCCTCTCATGTGAGCTCTTTTAGGTTGTGTAGTCAGAATAAAGGGCTCTCAACCATGGCTTCACATTAGAAACACCCAGAAAGCTTTTAAATGACATTGTTGCCTGTATTTCACCCTAGAGCTACAGAATTTAAATGTCTTGGGATGGGGCCAAAATAACCATGTTTTCTAAAACCTCTCTAATGACTAATTGGCAGCCAGTGTAAAGAACACCTAGCCTATATTTTATACATGGCACTGAATTATTTTTGTCTCATGATCCCTCCCAATTGCTCTGTGAATTTCCCACAGGACAGGAGCCCTACATGATCTCTTCCTGCTGCTTCTTCCTCCTGTTGTGCTTTTGTCTCTCTAGGACACACCTGCTTTCTGTGGGTCATGCCTATCAAATTTGCTCCAGGACACATTCACCTGCCTCCTCTGACCCCCAAACCTGCACTCAGCAAGCATTGCTGGGTACAATGTGGCGGAACATAGACTGAATTTAATCTGTGCTCAACAACAGTGTTCAAATTTACATGTATGCTTGGTGGACAGCGGAGGGCCATCAAACAGAGGGACCCATCGGCCTCTGTATAGGGACTCATCGGCCCTTTGTATAGGGACCCATCAGCCTCTTGGAAGAACATTCATTTTTTGACTTTATGAGAGTCAGGAGTCAACAGAAGTCAATGTTTAGAACTAATCATTCAGAACCACCAGTAGGAGACAATGGTGAGGCATTTTTGCCCATTGTGGGCCCAAGTTGTGAGCCCAGGTAAGGCATTTACATGGGCTCACAGGTAAACAAACAAACAAACAAACAAACAAACAAATTCTCTGGTTGATACTTGTTTAAGGCCTGATGCTCAGGACAAATGTCTTTTTGTGATGACACTATAGTTCTCGCTTCACTAAACAGTACACACTTGCTTTCCCTCCTGCTCTGGGCTCACTATTCCCCTCTTGGCTATGTGGAGGTTTGTCAAATCTTCATGGGGATTTGATGGTTCTCATTATGGCAGAGAGTTAGGAACACCTTGAGCTCAAGAATGGAATTCCTATTTTTTATCAGATATGTTTGCTATTACATTCGTTTCTCAGGCACCTAGAGAGACACTGTGCACATGTACCCCCCCTGAAGTATACCCCTTCCTGCACAGGGGTTGCTCTCCTTATGGTAATTCTCTCAGGTTGACCGACTCTGGGCAGCTTTCGGTTGGTTGCAGTTTTGATGGAATGTTCTCGGTTCATTTCTGTTGTTCTTTTTTGTGGTGTTGGAATTTGATGTATGTGCAAGGACTGCATCCCATGGTCTCTGTTTTCTGAGGGTCCTCTTCAGGGTCTGCTGTCGTTCGTTTCTCTTCAGGGCACATCCGGTCTCCGTGGGTTGTACTTAGGATTCTCCAGGACGCAACCACCCTTTGGTGCCTGTTTCCTGAGATGCCTTGCTCTGGTTTGTGAAAAACACTGAGTTTGATTGTGCTGTTCTGTGGCTTCTGAGTACTTTCAGAAGATACACTGAGTACTTTCTCACAGATACAAAATGTCAGACTGTTCATTGCACTGCATTTCCAGCTTTACCTACCACTCTTTAAATCTCACTCCTAATCACTCATTTGGCACAAACTCAATAGTAGGGTTGACTTGACAGGCTCATTGTTACAGAGGCTAAGACACCTTATAATATCAGTAGGGCCTGTTACAAATGTCTTACCTGGGCTCACAACTTGGATGATTCTATATCTACTGAATGCCTGAATTTTTAGGTCTGTGTGTCAGTATCAAATAATGAATATTGCACTACGATGTATGTAGTGACATGATAGTTGAGTCCAGTCTGTGTTCACTAATGGACTCTAAACATATTTTGTGTGTTTGATAGACTGGTATATGGGTCAAACAAAAATACTTCTGGGGTTACTGCCTGGCTATCCACTGGCCAACTGGCTTAAGTGGTTCTTGGCTTCCTTTCTTCCTAGATTTGTTCTCTTGTCTCTGGAACCTGGAAGTCACGACCCTCCCTTGGGGCCTCAGAGTTCCAAGGACGTTTTTTCATAGTCACAAAGAAAAGAAAGTTTTAGTGAGCTCAGAGGTGGAATGAATACCTGTGTTTCTTGTGCTTTGTTCTGATTGTCGATCGTGCCATGAGGTGCCCCTGGCGGGAAGTTCCATGCCAAGCAGGCCATTGATCTATACCTAACAGTTCCCAGAGGCAGTCCCTTAGTCTCTTCATGACTCAGAGACTGGGGGCTGATGTGGCTGTTGCATCAGTGGCCTTCATTTTCCCTGGCATCACACACACGTGTGTGTCTGCGGTCTGCAGGAATTACAGTGTGTGCCACCTGCCGCAGTCCAGAAGTATGCATGGGAGTATTTTTTGCACTTGTGGGATGCTTTTCTAAATTGGCATTTATTTCAATAATTCCTCCTCCCTCTCTCCATGTCAGGTGGCACATCTGTGGAGACTGCACCCCTTGTTCCCCGACCCTGGAGGAGATTGATGAGGACACCTGCTTTCTTCCTGTTCGGCACAGAGAGAGAGGCACAAGGGTTGTGGGCTCAGCAGCGAGCATCTGAATCTCATGGAGACATTTCAGCAAGTATGCTGGGAGGACATATGCTTGGAGTTATTTTTCCAGAGTTGGGAATAGAGCCAGAAGTACTTTATTTCATTCACTCCTTTGTTCAACATGGTTTAGGTTGCTAATGTGTGTCATTCCTTGTTTTGAGAGCTATGGGTGGGTAGAGAAGACAGAATTTTATAAGACATCTCTGCACTCAAGTCTGGGGAGACAACACACATGCACACACACGCACACATCAGAGTAAAATAGTGACATGAGTAAGGAGAAAGCCTCCCCAGATGCTAGGCTGGGTGAGGGGGGCTGTCGGCCTGAAGAGCCGGCCCCCTGTACACTGTCATGATTGAGTCTTCAGCCTTATAGCCATTCCCAGGCCTAACTGGTCTAGCTGCATGCAGAAATCAGCACAAAGAAGAAAAAGGAATATCCATGTTCGTGTCTCATCCCAGGAGGAAGCAATGGAAAAAGTAGGGGTCTATCTGTTTTGCATCAGTGTTACAAGGCTCTGATGTGCCTTTGTTGAATGGTTTTTGAATGTATCCCAGAAGTTCCAGGGCTCTGGCCCAGAAAAAGATGCATTTGCTGCAAATAAACATTCCTTTCTGAAAAAGGAAAGCCATAGATCTGTTTACTCAAGTGCCCAGTGATTTCAGCCCTTAGTGGGATCTGGAAGAAGCCCCATTTCCACCTAATACTGCCTAAGCAGGACTGCTAACAGGTGAGGATGAAGAAATTTACTCAGAGGACTGACTAGACAGAGTATTGATTCATGAAGACATTTCTGTCTTGTGTGGGGAATAGGGGTCTCTGGCCAACTTTAGCTGAGGTTGAGCCCCCAGGGGATTAGGCAGAGGTGACCTGGCCCACATGCTCCCCCAGAGGGTAGGAAGATACCTGGGAAATAGGAAGGAAGAGAAGCCAGTTGCCTGGGCTGCTTTTTCGGTGGAGTCAAGTGTTTTAGAAAAGGAAGATGAGTCTCCCCTTCCCCAGCTGGGAGGTAGATCTCCAAGGGCTATCCAGTCTGTGATCTTTTATTCATGCACATAATCTGTCGGGCTCTATCTTTGGGAAATTACTTCTATTTTGTGCACTTAATTGCTTAAATTGCTGTGGGTTTGCTGCATTTTCAAAAAATTCAATAAAAGACATAGAAAAGATTGACAGTAAAATGTTTATCAGGTGAAAATAATCTTTACAGATTCACGGACCTAGGTTCATCTTGTAAATACTGAATTTGGAGGCCTTGGAAATTGCTGAGAGGCTGTTGAAGTTTCACTGGTTCATGATTAGAAAATAATAGAAATAATAACGTTGTAGTTTTGAGTTTTTGAATCCCAATATGTTAAGCACTTGGGATTTTATATCAGATTCAACAGACATAGAAGAAAGAATCTGTGACTAAGCTTCTGGTGACCTTGTGACTCCAAAGCTTTGACCTCTGTGACCACTCAAGGTGCTCAGAGAGGCTTATCCAGCCAAACTCGGGAAAGTTGTAGGAAGTCCTCTCTTCAACCCTTTTCCTGCTTTGAAAAGAATCCTGTAATGCCTTTTAGTTTTTATTCATGGCTACTTATGAAGAAGAAGCTGAAAACGAGAGTTCTGGGGACCTTTTTCCAGCAAGCCTGCAGAACTGGCCCTGGACCTCAAACCCAAGAAGGCTGGAGCTGCCTCATAGCAGAGAAGTGGCCACAGCAGCTGCCACAAGGACACCTTTGAAACTTGGCTCTGCTCCTTACTGTGACACTTCACTGTTTGTAACTGTGTATCTAAGGGCATGTTCCCTTTTTTATTTACACTTGGCATTACTTGATCTTGCTGACCTATTTCCAAACAACATCTGTATTGTTTGTTACAACAAATCAGAGAAGTGACCTGTTCATTCATTCATAGAGTTGTGTCAGTTGCCTGTGGTGGATGCCTCATCACAGAAGGGGCTTGAAACACATGGTCTGAGCTGAAATGGCCAACCTTCTTTAGCACTGATGTTTGCTGGGACGGGACCGAAGGCTGCTTCAGGCGGATCCACAGGTTTGGACCATGTGCTCATGGTTGGGTTCCCTATCTACTTGGTTGGTTATGGAGCCCCCTTGACTTTGGAAGTTCTGCTTTTTGGAGGGTACTTGGAAATGTGTGAGGGGCCTTTGCTTGACTCACTGATGTGGGCAAGAGAGGTAGGGATGGGTCCTGTATGTGAGAAAGGGCCCCGCATCCTGCACGAATCTCAAATGCCCCAATGGATGTTGCTGTAGGCAAAGAGCATTTTGATAGTTACCTGAGCCCAGATTTTGTGTTCCAAAAAGTGTTTTGTGCACAACTCTGATTTGCACTGACTTTCCCAGGAACCATATTTAATGTGTAAATTGAGGAAGATCACATTCCTATGTTCAGAAACTTACCAGAAGTTGTTCACAGCATTCTGGTCACGGAAAATCCTTATCACTAATGGCAGCAGGTCTGGCGGCAATGGAGCTGCCCTACGACCTACCTGTAGCAATCTGTGCGCAGAGCCGCCCTGCTCCCAGCCAGTCTACGTAAAGACACAAGCGTCTGGCCACTTTGTTATGTCTTCTAGTCAGTCAGTCCTCCTCCTGAGCACTCCCAGCCCAGAAAACACTATCTTTACAGTCTTTTTCATGTATTTCTCTACTACGTTATAGTGGGTGCATTGTACTGGTGGTTGTCTCTTATTTTATTTTCTTAATCATTGTTAAAAATTGTTGTTCTATGACAGTTGTCCCAACTTGTGCCCCTTTGCCCTCCTTTTAAATTGCTGTGTCTTTTATTCCTCAGAAAGCAGTTCTGTAGTGCAGTGGAGTAGGATTGTACTTTACTCAGAACTTGACCGAGGTTTGTTCACTGTTCTGAAAAATGAGCTCCCTGATGGAAACAGTGCTCGGGTCATCAGAGTCAAAGCACGTGACACGTGAAGCAGCCTGCATTTTTAGGCATCGCATTCACCATGACTCTTTCAGAGATAGCTGTGCCTTTCTGCCTTCTAGTGTCGTCATGATCACAGATATATTGAGCTACATTTTCATGCAAATTAGGTCCTTTAATCTCTCCATTTACTCATAGTTAAGACAGTATGTTTCTATTTTTAAAAATTGCATGGGTAAGGCATGTTACGTGTGAACTTCATTTCAGGACAGTGAAGGGGCTTTGACTAGAAGCTTGCTTCGAGAAGGGGGCCTTGGCTGTGGCCGGGCTGTGAGGCAGAGAAAGCCCCGAGGGACAGCCTTGCTGGAGGCAGCCCCTGGCGTGACGAAGGCAGTGGTCCGTGCGCCTAGGTCTCTGCCCAGGTCAGCACGGGCATCCAGTGACAGCTTTCTGCATCGGGTCCTTCTCTACATAGTCACAGAACTTTGCTCAGGGCCAGTTTGCTGAATAGCAATGGGCAACTTATCTACTGATCAGGTGATCTCAAATTCAACTTCCTTCTAAGTATTTTCTTTCTCATGCAGGTATTCTATGACCTTTTTGCATTTTTTTTGTCCTAAAATACACTACCACATTTGCCCCGCTTTTCTTTCTCTCTCTCCCCCCACCTCTATCTCTCTATACACACACATACACACACATAGGTCTTTCTGTTTTTTTATGTATTTGAGGTTATGCAGCGCATTGTGACACTGCATTGGCTGTGAGCATTTTAGCACGTGTGTCCTAAACACAAGGACCCTGACCTCGAAAGCCACACTGTAGCTCTCGAAAGCAGGAAATCTCCATGGATATCAAATCCCCATCACATAAATGTGACCCTGGGTTCCATGCACAGACTGTGCTTGTCCCAGTAGTGTTCTTTACAGGTGCGGGGGCTGGTGCAGGAGCCAGTTTAGGGCCACTCATTCCCCTCAGTTGTCATGTCTTTCTAGTTTCCTTCAACCTGGAGTAGTTCTCCAGTTTTCCTTATCTTTCATGACCTTGACTTTCTTTCTTTTTCTTTTCCTTTTTTTTTTTTTAGGAGAATAGGCCAGTTACTTGGTAGCCTGTTTTGCAGTTTGACACTGTCTGATGGGCCCTCATCAGTCGATTCTGGTTACGCATCTTCGGCGGGAGTGCCACGGAAGTGATGCTGTATCCTTCTCAGCTTGTAATTTCCGAAGGGACGTGCTGTTGGTTTTCCCATCTCAGATCAAGGTAAAACCGTGAACTCTCACCAGTTAAGACGATGACTGTCAGGTTTCTCTGCTGTAGCAGGTATTTTTAAGAGGACATTCTCTGAGTAAGATCCTGCTTATCAAAACTCTGCCCTAGAGTAAAAGCATCTATTGGTGAATCTTGCCTGAATCAATTGTTAAATGGCAATTTCCTAACCTATCACTCCTTCTATGCTTAGGAGCTGGCTTTCAACGGTAAGGTAGAACTCTCCCATAAATCTGTATGTGTCTCCTGCTGGGTTCTTGTTTTATTCTATTTACTTCTCAATCTTATCACTGATTTCATTTTCATATAATTTTTCTTGTTTCATTTTTTGCCTCTCACCAAAGATTTTTTTGCTCATTTAGAGGATGCTATTCTTTCGTTAATCCAACTGAACATACTCATTCCACACTGTAACAAAAGGACATAGACTGCTTTTGTGAGTCCGTTGCTCCTTTTGTTAACTTTCTTTCTCAGTGTTGTATTTCTTTACGTGGTTTGGAATTTTGGTTTATGGCTTCATTTTGAGGGAGATCTTATTTATTTTCATATTTGTTTATTTACTTTTTGTGATTCTTCTCCTGGAAATGCTCACTTCGTCGGCGTGGTTATGTGGTCACGCTTACATAATCCTAACCCCTGATCCTGAACAGATCCTGTCATGGTGGCGTTTGTTTTTGGCCCATAGTTGTATAATCAGGGTAATTACTAGTCTTGTTCCTAAGCCAGTGGGTGCCTGGCTTGGATCTTGATCTTGGCATTGGACTCCTGTTGTTGTGTCTCCGGAAGCCCTAAGGAGCAGTTTTCCCCTGACTCCTTTTCAAGTGCCATGTGTGTGTGTAGGAGAATACACTGAGGGAACCTAGCTTTCAGCAGTGGCCTGCCACAGCCTCGGCTGTCACAGAGGAATTGAATTCCAGGTTACCCCTGCCTTGGTCTGGGTCTGTGATTTTAGAGCTGTTTACGTTTTGGAATTGCTATTTCATTTCTGATCCATTAAGACATTTACTTGTTCCTGAGCCGGCAGTATTTTTGTGTTGTTTTAAATATAGATCATTGCTTACATGTTTGGAGCCAGGGTGGTAATGTCAAAGTGTGAACTTACTGAGCTGTTTTGATTGAAAGTTTTTTTACTTCCATTAAGCAGAAGCAACATTTTCAGTAGGATGCTTTCTAACATCTAGAAGCTGCTGGCACATATTCTCAGGTCAGAGCTTTGAGAGAGTTTATGTCCATCCCTCCCTGAATAGCAGAATCCCTGTATGCACCACTAAGTCGGACCTGACCTGCCTCTCAGGGCAGGAAATTTTCAGTGGCAAGGTGGTGCCTTCCAGTGTGGCTCACGAGTGTGAAAACCTTCTCTAGTCTGTTTCACTCCCTTGCTGGAGCACCAAGGGCAGACTTAACATAGGGTGTCTTTTTTTTTTTTATCCTTTAAAAAATTGGTTTTCTGTTACAGTTGTCCCAGTTTTCCCCATGGCTCTCCCCTGCCCCACCCTGTTTCCATGTCCATGGGTCCTTTATACATGTTCCTCAGCTTGACTCTTTTCCTTCATCCCCCCCATCACCCTCCCCTCTGGTTGCTGTCAGACTGTTTCTTGTTTCCATGCCTCTGGTTCTCTTTTGCTTGTTTGTTTATTTTGTTCATTAGGTTCTTCTCATAGGTGAGATCATATGGTATTTGTGTTTGTTTTGGAAGTAAACTCAGAGACGTGTAAATCCAGCATACTGCCTCACACGGGCATACACATTAGTGATTCTTGGAAAGGCAATTGAATTTTTCAAAATCCACGTGATCATTGCCCAAGGCAATCTTTATAGATCCTTAAGAGCAACATGGCCTTTGCTCTCATTGCACAGAGTTTAAAAGTTTTCCTGCTATCAAGTTCAAATCGATCTCCTTGTAAATGCCATGGCAATGACACAAATGATGCTCCTGACATGAGAGCTGTTCTGACATGAGGAGACATTAGTTTTTCACCCCGAGCTTTCTCCTTTTTGAGCTATTCCTCCTATTTCCTTTAGCATTGTTGCCTATAATGCAGGTCTCTCATTATTCCGTTGGTACCTCTTGATAGGTATTGTGCGTTTTCTTGGCCACTGTGTGTTTCTTGGGCTAGTGAGCTAATGTGAAAGAACAGGCAACTTTATGATTTCCAGAAGATGGGGGGGGGGTTCACTTTGGTTTCTTGTCCCCAGCTCCCCTCAGGTGTGAAAAGGATTCCGCCAGCTTCATGGCTTGCTTCCTGTTGGATCATATTGGATAGTGCAATTACAGTTGTTTGTAGCATGGGCTGTGCAGCTCAGGCATCCCCAGGTGCATGTCCAGGGTGCTCATTTCTTATCTTGGGCTGGAAAGCAATTGAAGGCTGTTCTCCAGTCCTGTCTCTGCCACTGCTGTGGCCCAGAAATGGTTACTTGCAAACCACTTCTGTGGTCAGGGTAATGGTGTATTGATTGCTAACAGGTGGTAGGGGCGCAGTTTGATTTTTAGCTATAATTTTATTTTATGCCTTTTGGCATGTTGCTGGAAGGTGTTTCATGTGGTAATCTTATTGTGGAATAATTTTGATTTCAATAGTTTTGACTTTCATTATGCTTCTTTCTTTTTTTTTATTGCACAGACAGACATGGTGCATTGGGGCTATGTGAGGATTAAGTCAAGAAACATTGGTGTGCTTTGCTAAACTGACACTCTGGAAAGAACAGATTTTTATTTGGCAAACTTAAGTGTACTTTTATGCCGAATGTTTTAGAGAAATTTTCCCAATGAGTGCTTCATGGAATGCTGTGACCTAGTGTGATATTCTGTGATTAAAGGGATCCACGATGATATGATTTAGAAATGATGTGTCCAGGGGTGTCCAACCTTTTTGCGTCTCTGGGCCAAACTGGAAGAAGAAGAGTTGTCTTGGGTCACACATTAAATACACAAACACTAATGAAAAAATCGCATAGCATTTCAAGTAATTTACAGTTTTGTGTTGGACCTCATTCATCGCCATCCTGGGCCGCACATGGCCCATGGGTTGGATGCCCTTGACAGTGTGCTTCCCTCTTGAAGAGAACTTTTCATCTGATCTTACAAAAGATCAGAAGGCAGTAAGACTGAGCGGTAAAGAAGTCATTTTAGTCTTTCTAAAAATCTAACACTGACAATGCTTATTCGGTCATGAAACTCCTTGAAAACAGTACTATGATACCCATTAATACTCTGGAAAATCTGCATTCCATTCAGCACACCAGGGGCATGCATTGTTAAGCTACGTGGCATACCTGTGGTTGTTGGCGGCCCATGGATTGATTCACTCACAGACGTGCCTAATGCCCATCAGGGGCCTCTGCTGCGCAGGAGACAGTCCTTGCCTCTTCTTGTGAATGCACTGGGGAATCCATCCCACAGGAAGTATCGCCAACCCCAGAGCAGCATTGTCCCCGAGTGAGATGGCATCGAGCAGTTCATGTCAGGAAATGGGAAGGGCCGAGAGAAAAAAATGCCATCAAAATGAGGTCCAGGGTGGTGCAGGCTATCTGGCAAAGCCTTTAAGTGAAAACTGATAAAAATGGCTGACATGGGCAGCTAGGAAAGAGCGTGTTAGCTGGAGGCAGCCAATTCAGCAAAGGCAAAAAAGAAGAAATTGATAAATGGAAGGTGGGTGGGGAGCAAGTATGTTCCATGTCTTGGCAGATGCATGAGGAAGATGTGTTGACAAAGAAGAAGATGCTACTATGGGGGCGGAGGTGGGGGTGGGATTAAAAGACGGTTAATGAAGGACATTCACTGCTGAGTTTGAAATAGACATGGATGGCATTGGGGACCTTCTTAAAAATCTCTGGGAGGCCATGATGAAATGTAAATGATTTTCATGGACTTCAGCCCCTTTGTCTGTTATGAGACATGTTGTGGTTCCTGGCCCGAGCAGAGACTGCAGGAGTGGAGGGTAGGGACAATTTGGGAGAATAATTTAAGATGATACAGGTGTAGAGAGAAGAATCCAGCTCAACCCAACTGCGGGGTTCACAGTGACTGGGATCCAGGTGTTTAGGAAGGGTACGCTTCTCCTTGGGTCTCATAAAAATCGGCTTTCCCTCCTTCCTTGGGGCAACACTGGAGTTGTCAATGAAGTTCTTAGCTGGAGGCTACCCAATCACCTGCCACTCCTTAGGGGATGAAAACCATCGATCACTATTTGTCTGCTCGTTGGAACAGCAGGCCACTGCTAATATCTTTATCCACTTCTAAGGCTGTCAGCCTATTGACTTCTCTTTTTTCAAGTCCATTTATTGGAGTGTGAGGTGCAGCAGAGATTACTTTTAACCAAATGATGGAAAATTTGATCATGAAACATCTGTGGAAGAGTATGGAAAATTTGTGATGACTATTTTCTGGTCTGGCGAAGGGGTAGGCAGAGAAAGGTCTCTCCTTTCTGTTTGTCTAATGATCGCCTTACTTGAGAAAAATCCAACATGCAAGAAAGTAAGAATAAAGAAGGAAGGGTCAGCAAGTGACCCGGAACTGCCCCCATGTTCTCCCTGGCCTTGGTTTACTCATCTGGGCAAGGAGCTTGTGGGTACCAGCTGTTGCCCTATGTTCTGAGGCCATCATAATGACAGGGCAGGGCATGGTGTCTCCACCACTGTTGCTGGACCCCTGGGGTAAGTCTGGTTTTTCCTCTGTGAGCTTGGCACTGTAGCCAGCTGCAGGGAGACTACTATGAGCATGCACCCAGGACCTTTCCTGAGGCATGCTCTGATTGTAAACACAGCAGTCCCCAGAAGATGCAAAGGCCAAAGGCACAAAAGATGCCCTCTCTCTTAAAATTAATGGCATGTCATCACAGAGTGAAGGGTAGCCTCATGAGGGAGATCTCTCAGTGGAAGAGCCATCAACAAAACAATCAACGGGTATTAATTGAGGCCTCTTGGGCCTGGAACTATGCAGATAGAGGAAGGATCTTGATGTTAGGGTTCCTGG